CCAGAAAATAAACAGCAATTTTAACGGTGTTCCAATAACAATTCATTGGTTAAATTTTCACAGAATGTTCTTTAGATAAAAATCTATATAAAAAACGAAAAAAACTATTTTTGATTGAAATTCACAAATAAACTGCATCTCTACCTTAATCACAGATCTATATGTAGGTGGTCAATTTATTGACTTCTAAGAAGGATCAGATGGAAATGAAAATACGATATTATGAGAATATGAACAGAAAAAGAAGAAAACAAACGTTTTTACACATTTTCTCACAAATGTTTCTCAGTGACACAGGTTTAAAAATTTGCATACACTGTATTAGCATTGATATGAATCTAAATGGACATTCAGTTTATTTAATTTAGTAAGTTTCACACAGAATAATAATTTACTATTATTTAATCATTACTATTATTTAATCAATAGAGAAGTTACATAATGTATTGCATATATACTCAATAACATGCTGCGTAATGCAAAATTCAACTCCTTCAACAGGGTTTAAAAGCCTCATGATGTATAAACATACATATGAATAAACAAACTATTATACCTATTAATGAAAAAGAAATATTCCCTTTTCCATTTAAAGTACACTTAAATCTAAGGTCTATGCTTAAATCTAGTTATAATATTAAGTAATATTATATGTTTAAAGTAATTGGCAGAAAGCTCAACATGACATTTAAGAGACAACCTGAATAACTTTAAAGATACACGGTTAAATTAACTACAACACAATCAGTATCACACCATCTTAGACCGGTTCAGTAAAAATAGCTTTGTTGGATTAAAGTGGATTAAAATGAATAATTCATAACTTACCCTTTCCACATACTCGAAGACTAGATAAAGCTTGCCCTTTCTTCTGAAGGCTTCCCTGAGTGGAGAAGAATAAAAGATTGTAATTTGTAAATTTGAACATTTATTTTTTACTCCTAGTTCCCAATATCCCTGATGTAATTAACAAAGCTTTATAGATGTTGTTTTATTTTGAGTAAAATAGAAGGACTCTTGGGATAGCTAATAATTACATAGGAGGCTATATGTTAAGGTTAGTGATGTGTTTTACATACAGGTTGTACCTGTACAGAATAGCTAAGAGCAAATCTACTGACGTCAAGTAAGGAGCTGATTAACAGCCATTGATGACATGGCTAGCAAGGCACAGGATTGTAAATGTATGCACGTAATACAACATTGCTGTGAGATATGCACAAGTACAATGTTTATCACTCAGTTTGAGTATTAGCACACATAAAGCAAACTAAGACTCAAGCAGAGTAGTACTATCCATGCAAACAGTGAATTGGAGATGATTATAATGCTAAGCAATGATAACCTCTCTTGAACCGTACCCCAAGTTGGGGATAGTTCACACACCTTGGTGCAATACTCACAATTGAGTACAAAAGATTAGTTTCAAAATAAGGATCGCCGATTACATCAAGTACTAATATGTTGCCATATTTTGAGTAACTTTATTGTAAAATTCAGTTACTGTAAAATCTGTATTAAAAACAGTGGCTTCTATTAAAGTGGTACAATGCAACAGAGGGGATGCGGTTTCTATTTATAGAGCAATTACACAAATGAGAAATGATAAGTTTTTGGTTCTCATTTATTCAAAAATATTGGGTGCGACTTCTATTAAGGATGCAGCTTCTAATACAGATTTTACGGTATAACCCGTTTGAATAATATAAGAAGTATACTGTGTTCTTTTAGAGCAAAGCAATAACCATGAAAAAATAAATTAGCCACTAAAAAGTCAATTAACGGCTCTTTGATATGTAAATTAGCTGTAATATAGGATGAAGCATTTTGCTGGTCTGTATAAAAATATAAATGAATAATTTATAGAATATTGTAATTATTGAAAGATTTGAACAGCGCAAGTCACTGAGAGCTGGCTAGCACACCTGGTGACAGGCATTGTGCATTCCTGTGAAATCTGATTCTAGATTTTGAAATAATTTGGATTTAGAAATGAAGTATTATGAACACATGTAGTCCTTCCTGCTGGAAGTCTCCATGGATAACCATAATGAATGGGATAACTGTGTCTGCAGGCAATATGGTGACAAAATAGCTATCAAGTCAGTTTATTCAATTAAATGTTGGTGTGAAGTATACCTGAGCTCCACTATATTATCCTGCTTGAGTTGACGAAGCACTTTAAGTTCTCTTAGTATTGTACGCCTTACATCTTCATTTTCTGAAAAAATAAAAATTCAAATTTTTACATTGTGAAGAGAAGTGTGAAATAAACTACTGTTGAATACTTTATTTTCGCTTGGAATTAATTCTCGCTATTTTCGCGAAGGAATGATTCAGTGAAAATAAAATCCAGCGAATATACTTTTTTTCTTATATTTTCCATTCAACTCATCAAAAGTCAGTGAAAATAAATTCCATACAAAGCACCAAAAATGTCTTTTCAGCGAAAATTAATTCCAGCTAAAATAAAATATTTTACAGTATAGGCCTTATAAACTTAATCATTAAATTCAAGTGCTAATATATATTTACTATTGCATATTCTCTATAGTTGTAGAAACAACATAGATTATTGAAATTGGAGATAAATCAATAAGGACGCAGTCATGAAATATACTTTGATAACAGAAACAGAACAAATTGTGCCAATTATAGTTACTGTAAAATATATTCATCTGAAAGATATTATTGACATAACAGATCTAACATGTTATGACATTGTCATGGGTTGAAAAAAACAGAACCATTTAAGAAATAAATCATCATAGCATGATACATGTGTATGCATTCATAAAACTGATAATATTTCTAACAAATTTCCAGGAAAGCAATCAATCTCATTTTATTCAATTTTAATGCAATGCAGCTGTTTTTACTGGGATCACATGAAAACCTGACAAAACTGAAGAGACGCAAGGGTTTTATCTAATATTATTAGGGTTTTTTTTTAACGTTTTTTTATGCCCAGGCGACAGTTCAGGCCGGACATTGAATTTGTATGTGCAAATTGCAAGTGGGAGTGTTGACACAGGAGCTACAGGAGCTATATTCATGTTTGGGGCTACATGACAGGGCTGTGTGGCCATTTCTCTATCAAATGGCAATTTAATGTGATATCCTAGCTTCAACCAGCCTGGAAGAACACATTCACCTGTAAGCCTTAACAAAAGTTCCCCAAAAGTCACAGTTGTTGGTGAATCCAGTGGATTTTATCCACCTCTTTTGTGCCAGACTCATCCATGGTAGTGATCATTGGGTTATTACAATTTATATCAAACTCATAAACATAATATTCTAAGGAGCAGGGATTACAGAACACTAGAAAGTCACCACAATAATAATCTCAGCGTCATGCCTGATTAATGAAAACAGGTGATTTCAATAGTTATATTGAAAGAAAAATACAGAAAAAACAATTATTGATTAAAAATATTTGAAAACTGATAATTAATTTATCCTCTAATCTCCTTCAATTCAACTGTCTTTTTCTGATTTATGAATCTGTGAGTCATGCCTGATGAATGAAAACAGGTGATTTCAATAGTTACATTGAAAGAAAAATACAGAGAAAACAATTATTGATTCAAAATATTTGAAAACTGATAATTAATTTATCCTCTTTCAAATCAACTGTCTTTTTCAACTTTCTGGTAACAATTGTTGATAGAATTGGTTGCTGACTACAGCTTGGTGAGGTCATAGGTCATGGAGAGAACCAGATTACCCATGAGGCTTAGCTACAAATAAGATTGCAGTAGTAAGAAGATAGCAATATGATTGGAAAGGTTGTAGTGAATTGTGATTAAAATAAACTGAAATGTAATACTCTCCGGAGGGTAATCAATAGGCTAACCTAATTTCACTGAAAATGAGACAACAAGATAAATATAAGGTTTTGAGCACATAATACACATGTACAACACTGTGCTTGTATTCTGGAAGTGTAATTAGCACCATATAACTAGAGGAATATATAACTATACTAACAGAGAAAACCAAACACAATCAATGTAATATTGTAATGAAGGAATCCAACCTCCCGTTCAAACAGCATCAGTCAATTGACTTCAGATGTAAAAAGTGATCTCGTAATACACGTGATTAAAGGGAAGCAGGGCAGTGGGCGTCACACGACTGCGTTCAATGCATGGTTCCCACACTATGCATACCAATAAACAAGCACATAGGTCAAATGTGTTATTTGTTGACACAAAATTCATATACTAGTATACATGTACAATATACAAGTCATAGACAACTGCCACCTTTAACATATTGTAGTGTTATACATGTAGTAGCAAATAGGCTGATATAGGAGAACACAGAACATTTTAATGCGTTGTTTAATTTCTCCCCTTAATATTAGTCACATTGTGAAATCATTAAGTCTGGTAATACCAAATCATTACTCCCCTCCATTCTCTCATCAGACTACTGTATAGACTGCCTGTTCTATGCAGGTAAAGGAAATAAGTTCATAGTAACGCCTTAACACTGGACTTCATTAGACAGTGGTTAATCAGAGAGCATAACAAAGGCCATTATCTTCCATTGATTTTCACAACATATCAAAGAATACTTAATGACGCTTTAGGGATATCAAATTACTAGGCGATTGGTGATTCCATGGAAATTAAAATTGACTTGAACTTTTTTTGTTCAATAGAGTAGCACAGGTAGCAAGGCCGGGAAGGTATTGTATGTTTCTATGTACCCAATAAGAACACTTGTAAGTTATAGAGAATGACCTGAGGTCAGTACAAATCAACATGTGTCAATATCAAAACAACAGGAGTTGCTACCATGGCAGCACCTGACTATTTGGCATTTGGCAACTATATGAAATGTCAGCATTCTGTCTATAAATTATTGTGTATGTGTTTAATATTATATGTTTAATCATTCAACACTTTTCTATTAAGCAGCCTAGAATCTATTAATAAATCTACATAGAATCTAACTCCAGGTGAATGAATATTAATTTGTTGACGTTTTGATGGTCTAATTTCATGTTTTGTTCACACCAAAGCAGCTAACAGTTGTTAAACGTTATGATGCATGTTCTAGGTGTGTTTCATATGAGGTACTGGTATACAACACTTGGAAAATTGTTCGTTTACACTAAAAACGCCCTTTCAATTCAATTTTCTTTTTTTTTCAGTTTAAACATGTAGTGCTTAGATTGGATACACACAATTTGACAATTTATTGATCTCTGTTACTAGTAGTTTGTCAATTCATGTAAATACATGCACACAATGGATTTCCAGGCAACAACTTTTCAATATTTATTTTTTGAATACTTGTGCACCAAGTAAAAGTCTTAATATAACACACAGCACATTTTGACTGTGGCAATTATGACAATAACCACCACAGACAAATAAAACAATCCAAATCAAGGTTCTCCAAATTGGATAAAACCTACATAGTCCTTGGCACCTGTCTTTTCTCAACCAGGGTCAAGGTTGATTCAATAAAGTTTAATAAACAAATTGTAATGGGTCTTAGTGAATACATTTTCAAGTGCTTCACTTTAAGAAATGACAGTCATGAAACAAATCACCAGCCTAAATTTGCAAATTTTTTGTTCAGTTTTCTTTTACTGATATTATTTTTCTTTTTTACTCAAACGTTATTATATTTTTATCTAGATCCCAAATGAGAATATGATTTCAATAATAATAATAGTTTATTACGCAACTGTAATCTGCTGTGGATACAGTAAGGTAAAAATAGTGTAAAATAAAGCAACTAAAAGTAACTACAAAAATAGTAAAAAATAGTGTAAAATAAAGCAACTAAAAATAACTACAAATTTAAAAGTTCTAATACTACAAAAAATCAGAAAATAATAATAAATACAGTAAATAAATCAAAGTAAAGGTAATATCAATAGTATTTATTAGTATTACAATTTAGTTGGGGTTTATGACGTAGTTAATAAATTGCCTACAATAAGAGGGGGGTAGTATCACATTTGCTCTGTTGGGTGTGTCCTAAGTAAAAATCAGTCCCATTAATAATCTATGATACAATAAATGCAATTTCATAAATGTTTATGTGTGTGCTAATTGTGTAATATGGCATGTATACTATTCTTTACTACAGCATTATGGTGTGGCAGTGTAGTTATCACAGAACCCGGTAATGGATTGTGCTAAATATTCAAGTTACTAAATACAGTCAATATCAATATAGAAGAGCCTAACAATAGGTGTTTATCAACCTCTGAACCCACTTGACTGAATGATGGAATATTGTTACACTGAAACATTTAACATAGTTTCTACACTATTATAAACAATAATCCAACTTAACCAAACATGGCTATATTAAAAACTATATGCAAACATTTTTGTTTGTCAAATGTTGTCACCAGACTGGAAAGAATTTTTTTTTAAATAAATCCAGTGTTAACGTTTATATGTAAAACAACGGAAATTAAATAATCTACAGTTGTTAAATGATAAATATTTGTAGGACATTCCTGGCATATCAGGTGACTCAATCAGGTTGGGGTTTACATTTATGCTAGTCCTAAAGTCTGAGAGTAGTGAATAATTGAAAAGAGTAGTAGAAATAGCTTGGCTGCCAGTCCCAACAGGCTAGTGAATCAATTCATTACTAGTAAAATCATTATTATAAGTTTACAAATAAAGCATGAAGTTTACAAGAATCACATACATTGGACAATGTCATGCCAAAATTGGCATTTTTGTACTGGTTTCTTTTCTTTCAAATTTTATAAAACAAGCAGCCTGACGGCTGAGATAGCTCCGCTGTCAGCAATGCACATTTCAATTAAAGAACTGAAGATATCATTAGAAAATGAACAAGATGTATAGTATCAAAGCAATCGGACTTACAGATTTTAACAAGAAGTCGAAAATATCACTTTTTACCAAAAATGACAAAAATATTCACCAAAATTAGAGAATTGACGATATCATCACAAAATGAACAAATCTGAGAAAGGTCTACATGTAGTATCTATATGTAATATCAAAGCAATTGAACTATTGGTTTTTAACAAGAAGTTGAAAATATCACTTTTTACCAAAAATGACAAAAATATTCACCAAAATTAGAGAATTGAAGATATCATCACAAAATGAACAAATCTAAGAGAGGTCCACATGTAGTACCTATATATGTAGTATCAAAGCAATTGGACTTGCGGTTTTTAACAAGAAGTCAAAAATATAATTTTTTACC